TCTGACATGCCTGAGTGGGGGGGCTTTTATTTTGGAAATTTCAAATGCATTTAAGCCATAGTGAGTATAAAAGATGCACATAGCTACCATAACATCACCCACTGGTTTGTGAAGCCTTGAGATTTGCTATCACCATCTTGGTTTCCAAAAGAAAAAGAAAAATGATGCGATGTGATGACTGACTGTGAAACTGTGCTCATTGGCTAAGGACTTGAGATTAAGAAATTGTTTGCCAATGAGCTGTGGTTTCACACCACAGATTTATTTTGAGACATAATATGACAACGATTTACAAAATACACTCATTAAAAATTATTATTATTCAATACGACCCCACATGAGTGGCCAAGCCTTTAAACTCAGCAGGAAACTGTTGGCAGAGTTCAAGTTAGAAAGCAGTTTTGTGACTTCTATAGAACTGGAAGTGTTTTTGAAAGTTATCACCTTCTCAGAGTATTCAACACTTCCACATTGGCTTTGTTTTTCCGACCTGGAAGATATATCCATCTTTTATTTCGTCTGTGGTTAAAGCATACTGGACATTCCACACACAAAAAAATTAGGGCTTTTACTGTGAAAATCTATCATCCAAGTATAATGGTAACGTCCTGTAAGTCCCGTAGTATTTATTTTGAGAATCTGACACCGAGATCTGTTAGTCACTATGAGGGTCTTTGAACGAACAAGAAACATTACATATGATAGACACATCGCTGGTTGTTTTAGACGAGCCACCTACAGGACACACATTCTCACTACAAAGAAACTCTGCTACCGTCTATTTCTCTTTCTTCTTTCTTTCTTTTTTAACTCTCCTGCCAACAGCAACAGCAACTGCTTCGGGTTTGTGTGTGTGTTGTTGTTGTTGTTTTAATCGTCGCTGCAGCAGTAAAAGCTGGATCCTGTCGCTAGGCAACCACCCCTCCTTCCCAGCATCAGCACCAGGACTGTGTTAACGCTCTCTGCCGCATCACCGAGTTGGCTGCACGTTCTGCGTGCCTTGTCATCACGTATAGGGCAGGTTGTGGTTTGCAAACACGATCCGTTCCTCTGCCAGAGTCACAGCTCGACTTGGAAACAGAGGAAGAGATGCGAGGGCAGCAGAGGGGAGGGGCGAGCAAACACGATAATGAAAGATAAACTTAAGTTGCTGTGCTATGAGGGGGCACGGGAAGGCTAAGCGGCTGTATTGGTGTGATGTCTGGTGAAATGCTGTGAGGTAAACGTCGGGGGTACATACACACATTCACAAACACACGGGCTGAACGGGATGCCCGCGTGACTGCAGGGAGGAAAGAGGCGGCGGAGGAGGAAGAACAAGAGGAGGAGGAGGGGGGTCTAGGTGCTTGTGTGGACCGCCGCAAAAACCTCCGAGGTGGAGTTAACAAAGATAGATAGTCTGCTGGTAAATATTCCAGCCTGGCTGCTATTTTGGTGCAGTTTGAAAATCGATGGAACATTTATTTCCTGTTCATGCCGGGATAGCTAATTAGTCTTAGGGTGATCTTAGGGTTTTGATCTCCTCGCCGTCTTTTTTTTTCTCTTCCGTGACAGGATAAGGAGCTGATAAAAAGGTCGCGGGAGGGGAGCGCACATGTTCAGATGATGTTCCTCAAGACTGGACGCACGGACTGACCCCCACATGCCGCCTCTGCTGGGAGTAAAACTACAAGCGAACAGCTGCTATCTCTGAGATGCTTTAGAATTTGCGGCCTGCTCGGGTCTCCAGTTACCGCAATGCCACGGGCTAGAGGAGGGAGAGAGGGACGAGAGGAGGTGGAGAGGAGGAAGCAGCAAAAAGCAAATGAGTAATAATAGCAATAATGTGAAGATTTAAAAGGAAAACGAATTGCCCAGTTTGCCTGTTAGCGTTGTAATCAAAGAATGGCTGGGCAGCAGAATGGCGTAGACTGTACTATATAAGCTACATTGGCTTCTGAACTGAGTGGGGTGAAAGAGACGCTGTGTGGACTTAAAAGTATAAAAGCTGAAACATCAGATGAGGTGAGTATGGTGCCTGCGACTGTGTGGTAGCAGCTCATTTTTTCAACTTTCTGCTGACAAAGTTATTGGACTCACTGGCTGGACTACAGTGTGCACCATGGGACATTGCGCAGAACCTGCCAGTGGAGAATTTGGTGCATAACTGTGACAGAGCAGAGCTCTGAAGCCAGCATTTATGTCTCTCTCTCTCCTGCTCTCCTGTGCTTCTGCCCACACAACTTGTCTTATGAACCTGCTGTAAGCGTAAACCCTTTCCCTGCCTCCTCCACAAGCCAAACATGCCTTCACCTTCAGACTCTAGCAGCGTGGCTTCAGCCTCTGGGTCCCGGGGTTGGTCAGACAGCCGCAGGGGCATGTCTGGCCGGGGGCCTGGTGGAGCCCGACTGCTCCTTTACCTGGGGCTCTGCCACCTGGGCTTGGGAGCAATGGTCCTGGCCTTCTCTTTCACCAGCATGGCCTTCACCACCACTCCCCGCGTAAGGCAGTCCTGTCCATTCTGGGCTGGTTTCTTTGTAAGTGTAACTCGTACTGAAAACAAACAACAGTATGTTACAGCAGATATACTAAAGGAGGTATTTCATGGTGCACATGCTTTTTGTTTCCAGGTGGTGGCATCGGGGATTGTTGGAATAATCTCATGGAGGAGACCTCTGACGCTGGTGGTATGTGTAGCACATTGCATCAAATCTTTCTGAGAATTTCAAACTTTTCATCCTTTTTGGCATAAAAGTGGGAGTTTAAAATGTGCATTCTTACATAACTGATAATTGAGGGTCTTTGTACTGGGGTGTTTTGTCACTATGTGGTTTAAACAATTCTATATCTGCATGAAAAAATCTATCATATTTTATATTTTGATTACACTGTGCACATGAAGTAAAACACTTAGCAGGCTTAAGATTTCAGTGCATTCAGGACAGAAAACAGGACCAGGATCTAAAACAGGCACTTTCATTTAACATGTTCTTTATTCTGGTTGAAAGCATCTTGAACCATGAGATATCCTGCTGTGGTCTTTGGTTGAATGCCACGCTCTAACTCAAACGTCATCTCTGTGTATCTCCACAGGTGTCACTGTTTATGCTGCTGTCTGCAGTGTGTGTGATACTCAGTCTAGCTGGCTCAATGCTGTCCTGTCAGAATGCACAGATGGTCAAGTCCATGCTCACCTGCCAGGTACAGTGAGCAATATTATGCAAGCTTCGTCTTCTACCTTCATGCTTAGATGCATGGAAAACGTGACAGGAATAGCTGCAAATATCCACTTTTGGTCTACCGATTAGTGCTTTACACCAATCCAATGTGTTTAGGTGGAAAATGGTCTGTGTGTGTGCTGTGCACGCACAGACCCCTGCTCCACAGATGAGGAAAAGCTGGTCCTCAACCAGGATAATGGGTGCCACTCAGTCAGAAAACAGCTGAAGGTAGGTAGAATATTTTTTGACCACACTGGAAATCCATTTTCCACATAAAAGATTACACAAACTAAGATTTTGTTTTCTTTTGAATGCATCGTCTCTACAGGACCTTTTGTTCAGTGCGTGTGGTCTCAGCATTCTCTCCACCATCATTTGTACCCTGTCCACCGTGACCTGCAGTATCCACATATTCTCCCTGGACCTCCTGCACCTGGTAGGAACAGATTCAGCACATTTTACATTTAAAATGTGGACCCTGCAAATGTGCTGGACTGCTGCCTTAAGAGATTAGAAAATATATAGTGCTGTGAAGAAGCATTTGCTCCCTTCCGGATTTCTTTTCTTGCATATTTGTCACACTTACCTGTTTCTGATTTTGAAAAATGTTTAAACATTTAGATAAAGATAACTCAAACAAATACAAAATTCAGTTTTTAAATGATTTATTAAGGGAATAAAACATCCAAACCCACCTGGCCCTCTGTGAAAAAGTAATTGCCTGAAACCTAATAACTGGTTGTGCCACCATTGGCAGCAAGAACCGCAATCAACCGTTTGCAGTAATAGGCAATGAGTTTTTCAAACTCGCCATCAGACCCAACTGTTCTTTGCAGAAATGTTTTAATTCACCCACACTGGAGGTTTTTCCAGCACGCACAGCCTGTTTAAGATAATCGCAATCGGATTTAAGTCTGGACTTTGACTAGGCAACTCCAAAACCTTAATTTTGTCATTTTTAGCCATTCAAAGATGGACATTAAGGTGTGTTTTGGATCATTGTGCTCCTGCATAAGCCAAGTGTGATTGAGTTTCAGGGCATGAAATGATGGTTGGACATTGTCCTTCGGGATTTTCTGATAGAGAGCAGAGTTCATGGTTCATTCAGCTAAGGCAAGTCGTCCAAATACTGCAGCAAATTTTTCACGTAGG